AAAGTTATTACATGCTGCTCAGCAAACCAGTAAAAGCATGAGCTCCAACCCAGACTATCTGGGTTTGAATTCCTGCTAGACCACTTAATCCTTCTTAAGTTACTTCCTGACCAGGGGCAAGTTCTTTCACCTCTCTATGCCTCAGCTGCACTTATATAAAATCAGGAGAGTAAAATAGCTATTTCATAGGGTTACTATGAGGATTCAATGAATTAAAATTTGCAAAGTACTTAGAATTATGCCTGGCACACAGTAAGCACTGAGTAAATATTTGTATTTATTGATAGCAGTATCCCTTTAATCTAATAAGAAAGGTACCCTTATTATTCCCATTTATTTATGACGAAATTGTGGCCTGAGTTAATTAAGTTGGCCAAAGTCCTTTAGTTAAACTAAGGTATAACTGTCGCCAAAATCTAAGCTCTTTATATCTATTGCTTCATGAAAGTCAACAATGTTAAGCTTTGGGCAATAAGCAATGGAAAAACACTAGAGGTTTAAATGAAAATATAAATTATTAAAGCAAAGTTTTACTTAGAGAGGTAACTGCTAATGGAAAGGAGAACAAACTGGAATAGGGAGGAAGTTGGGCTGGACTCTGAAAGAGCAGAGAGGAGCCTGTGGACCGAGGACAGTGGCGCCAGAATGGAAGGGACATCAAGAGCAAAAGACACGGCTCAGGAGGGACCAAAGGCCAGGTGACTGGCGAAGGACAGCAAGTGGCAGAGCCACAGGGATGACTGAAACGAGGTCAGCTATGCCTGACCATGAAGGTGAAGGAGGACACATGGCAAGAATATTAGAAAGCTGGCCCTGCCTGTCTTGTTCGGGGAGGGATGTAACTATGCAGGTCTGTTAATAAAGGATCTTCACAGTACTATTTACAAGTCAAAAATACTAAACTCATATGCTGACTCGGAGAGATGAAGGGAAACTCAGGTACATAGGCTATTAACTGGGATATATAATAACCTATTACTTTTAAAAGTTAAAAGTTTAGGGGAGAAAAAATCCAGATTCCATGATAACATTTTTCTTAAATAAACTTAAAGACAGGTTTCACACTAAAACAAAACTTCTACTCACAAAACCTAAAAGAACAAAGTACAGACCATATAAAATCAGGATTTCATCTTGAAATTTTCCTAGAACAATAAAACATAAGAGCTCTTTAATTTCCAAAGCTCAGTGTATGTGTGTAACAGGAGGATACTACACTCGGAAGATCATTTCTTCAATCATCAAGTATGCATTACAGTTCAATTAAATTGCTAGATTTCATCTTTAGATTTACAGACTCTTTTACTCGCTAAGAAAGGCTAGATTTTGTTTTCCCATTCTGAAATACAAAATAAATGTCAATGGTTCATCTGCTAATGCCCTTACATGGCCAAGCCTGAGTACTGACATGGTCAGTTAACAATGGCAACAGCCTACATCTTTGAAAGTGTGGGGTCAAAGGAAATGACAGAACCTGTATGGAATATAGGCAAAATGGTATTTCTGAAATTATTTACTTTTTGTTATAATATGTAAGTCATTTTATATTTTCAGGATTTAGCAGAGATAATTAAGATATAAATACTAAAGCAGCATTTGGGAATCAAATAACTCCAATGAACGTATTAATTTTCCCCCTCATCGCCTATCTTCTAAAGAAAAGCATTGTCTTTTCACATGAAAAATTAACCATTTTAAAATAATGAGTTAAAATGCTACTATCTAAAACCTAAAAGAGAACTAATATATTAAATAAAAGCTAGCCAGAAACCCATACATGGTACATATGCATACCTAACATAATACTACGTAAAAATATAGTATCTCGCTGAAACCGGTTTGGCTCAGTGGATAGAGCGTCGGCCTGCGGACTGAAAGGTCCCAGGTTCGATTCCGGTCAAGGGCATGTACCTGGGTTGCGGGCATATCCCCAGTAGGAGATGTGCAGGAGGCAGCTGATCAATGTTTCTCTCTCATCGATGTTTCTAACTATCTCTCTCCCTTCCTCTCTGTGAAAAATCAATAAAATATATTTAAAAAAATATATAGTATCTCATGTGTAAGACACTATAGAAAGCCCTTCTCTTACCAAACCTCTCTCCTCAAATAACATCTATAATATATTTTTTAAATATTTTTTATTGATTTCAGAAAGGAAGGAAGAAGGAGAGAGAGACAGAAACAGCAATGATGAGAGAGGATCATTGATTGGCTGCCTCCTGTACGCCCCACACTGGGGATCGAGCCCACAACTTGAGCACATGCCCTGACCGGTAATCAAACCGTGACCTCCTGGTTCACAGGTCAATGCTCAACCACTGAGCCATGGTGGCTGGGTTGGTCTATAATATTAGAAGATGAGCTGTCGATTTGCACCATAAGAGGATGAAGGTAAAAGAAGAGATAAATACACAGGCTGAATAAACTAAGTTAACTACACACAATTTCAAAGGAAAAATCTAACAATTATAAACATCAAATTTTTTATGAAATGGTTTTAGAACCTACTGATTTGCATGTATGCAATTATTATATACAACTGGTAGGAAGGTTCTTTTTCAGGCCCCAATCACTAGGATGTACAATTCTTCAATTCCCTGATTATTTCCTATTTAAGAATTCTGGACCATAGCCTATATTTCAGGTCTGCAACCCTCAGGCAAATCTAGTTCAAGATCTGGACCAGGGGAAAGGGCAAGGCTCCCTAGCACTCAGTCTTCGTCGCAAGAAAACCAAATAATCTCCTTGATATATAAATTACTCTGAAGAAATACCTACAGTCATTCTATCAGAACAGGTAACCCAGAATAAGTCATATCTGCAACATTCCTAACTTAGGCTGTGAGGGAATAGTGGGATACAAAGCAATATATTCCGTGCAGAAAATGAAATCCGGTAAACATTTCTAATCAGAAAGAGATCTTTCATGTAGGTATACTTTCATTTTATAAATAATTGCTACCACATGATCACCAAACCAGACCCAGACCCATTTTCTTTTTTTTAATATATTTTATTGATTTTTTACAGAGAGGAAGAGAGAGGGATAGAGAGTTAGAAACATTGACAGACACATCGATCAGCTGCCTCCTGCACACCTCCTACTGGGGATGTGCCCGCAACCAAGATACATGCCCTTGACCAGAATCGAACCTGGGACCTTTCAGTCTGCAGGCCGACGCTCTATCCACTGAGCCAAACCGGTTAGGGCCAGACCCATTTTCTTTTGTCAAGGCAAATGAACAAAGCATAATTCTAATACAATACTCCCTATATAACAAACATTCATTATATCGTTCATTTACCCTTCATCTAATACCTAAAAACAGCAAATAAACACAAAGTATTTCTTTTGAATTATTTTCTGAGAAACAAAGGGGGACGTTTTATAATAATAATATCAGATAAAACAAATTTTCACTATACCATATCATTACTTTAAAAAGTTCAATATGCCCAAAGAAATGTATGCCTGATATTTACATATTGCTCCCTTAAGAAACAGAATGGCATAGTATTAAATATAAAACTGACTTAAAATGTTCAAGTTATTATATACTGTAACATATGCATACACTTTAAAAACAAAAATTATATACTAGGTGTACCGGTTAATAATGCGGATCTTGTAATTAAAGAAAACGGTAATTTCAAGAGAAACATCAAAAGTGCTTTATTCAAAGTAATGTCCATCGCTAGCTACACATTTCCCCATCTTTCAGGTAATTTGTGGATACCGTCCCAATAGAACTTTTCTTGTTTTCAGGCAAACCATTCAGAGACCAAATTTTCCACGTCTTCGTATGTTTTTAAGTGCTGCTCAGAAAGCGCGTGTGCCATCGACTGGAACAAGTGGTAATCTGAAGGAGCAAGGTCTGGTGAATGCAGTGGGTGGGTTAATGCTTTCCAGGCAAGATCTTTTCACGTGTCTTTAACTAGTTTTGAAGTGTGTGATGGTGCATCATCATGAAGCAAAATTACTTTGCTGTGTCTTCTGGCACATTCTGGTCATTTCACGATGAAAGCATGGTTCAAATTGATTATTTGTTGTAGGTAGTGATCAGTATTAATGGTTTCACCTGGTTTTAGAAGCTCATAATACACCACACATTCGTGATGCCACCAAACACAGAGTATTGTCTTTTTTCCAAAGCAATGTGGAATTGCAGTCAATGTTGATGGTTGACCTGAATCAACCCATGATTTTGTGCATCTGGGATTCTCAAAATAAATCCACTTTTCATTGCCAGTCACAATTCGATGCAAAGAAGACTTTCTTTTGTGCCATTGAAGCAACATTTTACTGATGACTTTTCGGTTTTCCATTTGTCTTTCATTCAGTTGATGTGGCACCCATTTTCCTTCCTTTAAAATTTTTCCCATTGCTTGTAAACGATCAGAAATTGTTTGCTGAGCAATGTTTAATCTTTCTGAAAGTTGTTTTTGAGTTTGACACGCATCTTCATCCAATAATGCTTGTAATTGTTGGGTCTTCAAACTTTTAGAGTTGACCTGGACATTCTTTGTCTTTCACATCGAAATCATCACTTTTAAAGCGTTTAAACCAGCATTGACAAGTATCTTGAGATGGAGCATCTTCACCATAAGCTTCACGAAGTATTCAGCAGCACTTTTCTTCAAAATAAAGTAATGAATTAAAACTTCCTGCAAATGCTCTTTTTTTTTGGCATGAAATTCAACATTTTTAAGTGTAAAAATATCCATGATGTTAACACCTTTAGCAAATTTGATATATGAAGTTTTGAATCTTATTGTCAATACAATAAAACAGCATACATATGAAATAGCATATATATCAACATATGTGTAACTCCATCTATTGAAAAAAATCCACCTTATTAACCAGTACACCTAGTATATATCAAGAAACATGTATGTATATGTTTGTGTTTTTTGAAAGAACAAAACAAAATAGTAATTTATGTTGAAAGCCTAGCCAGTTAGGTATTAGGGGTTGGGGGCTGCCCCATAAGCCTCACCTGTCGAATGATACTCTTCACACAACGTAAAGGAAGGCCTTGATAGTTGGACTTGATAATCCATTTGAGGAGATGGTGGCCAAGCACTTCGAAAACCATGCAGACATCTGGGACATGGTTAAGGATCACTTGTGGATACATTTCCTGAAGTGATGCAATTACTAAAAGCAGCAGCACTGTGGCACGTGGCAAAACATTTACTTCTTCAAAACATGCAACAATCCTATATAATAAAAGGCTAATATACAAATCAACTGAATGGCAAAACAACCAGTCACTATGATGCGCACTGACCACCAGGGGGCAGACACTCAATGCAGGAGCTGCCCCCTGGTGGTCACTTCATTCCCACAGGGGAGCGCCAATCAGCCAAAAGCCCTAAGCCAGGCTCACAGCTGGTGAGCGCAGCGGCAGTGGCGGGAGCCTCTCCTGCCTCGCCAGCAACGCTAAGCCGTCAGTCAGACATCCCCCAAGGGCCCCTGGACTGCGAGAGGGCACAGGCCGGGCTGAGGGACCACCCCCACCCCAAGTGCATGAATTTTGTGCATCAGGCCTCTAATACTATCAATAATACCCAAGTGGTCCTTTCCTATTTCTCACCTAAATAAAATGATGGAACATTTACTAAGTACTTATTAAGTCCCACAGATTATTAATGTGTACCTGTAACAACCTTAGAAAATAATATATGTATCCCCACACAGAAACGGGGAGAGCCAACTAAAGAACTATCCTGCGTTACAGTCCAAAGGTGGCAGTGTCAGGACTCGATCCCACACTTATCTGTGCTCTCACTCATTTTAGCACACTTTTCCTTGATGATCAGTCTTAATGAAAATGAGCAAGACCAGAACCTCATGAGCAATTAACGAGAAAAAAGTAAAGAACTCTCCTGTCTAAAGTGTCCTATTTGCCTGCCTAAATTTCTATTTCATGGGTTACATAAAACACTTTATAAAATAGAAATTAAACAAACTCAGTGAAGATATTTAATCTTTTCCTTCATATCTTCAAATGTGTAAATAGATCAATTTTAATATTGTAGGCAGTTTTCAAGAATATATGATCACAATATAAGACATGGCATTAAGACCAACCTATAATAATGAAGTCTCAGGAATCTGGGTGGTTTTTAAAAAAAACACACAGAAATTCTAGTCAAACACCAACACTCCAGAACGATGGCCCATCATATAAATATATTTATGTCATTCCTACTGGAAGATTTAAAATGATTCTGAAACCATCTGAGAATACTTTATTCACCCCTGGAGGCCTATAGACAGGTTAGTTTAATTAATATATATATATATATTATTATTTTATATATATATATATATTATTTTTATTTTTTTAGTATATTTTTATTGATCTCAGAGAGGAAGGAAGAGGGAGAGAGAGACAGAAACATCCATGATGTGTGAGAATCATGGATCGGCTGCTTCCTGCAAGCACCCTACTGGGGATGGAGCCCGAAACCTGGGCATGTACCCTTGACCAGAATCGAACCTGGGACCTTTCAGTTCGCAGGACAACCTTCTATCCGCTGAGCCAAACCGGCTAGGGCTGACTTAATATATTTTACAATATCTGCATCTACCACATCATCACAATAACTACTGCTTTAAATATTAAGAAAAAGATTTCTACAGTGTTGGAGAACATGTGAGCTACAGATTTATGCGTAGATAATGTAAAACCAGTTTCCCAGGCATATTACAAAAAATCAAAAACTGTACTTATGAACACACAAAGCAACACCCAGATCTCTACATAATGATTTCTACATCACTGACAAATCTGAACTATGATGGTTTCTTACCATTTAACAGTAAAAATAGTCACTAGAATGTGTATGTAGTATTTTTCAAAACTCCATTTACCTACAAATCAGCCGGTTTCTCCAAAGAAACCATCTCCCTGTCAGCTGTCCCAGGAGCTGCCATGCAGATCTGATGTAGGAGGGGCTGCCCTGCGTGCCCATAAACCATCAGTCATTTGGAGAACAGGAGCAGGTCAGGACCAGCTCTACCTTCCTATCTATCACGAGGGAAAATGCACTCAGCAATTAGCAGAAATGATACTGAGAGAAACAGAGAGGTGGCTTTAGCAGTCAAGGGTGCGTGCTAGTACCTCCAAATCCACTCTAGAGGAAATACAAGCATACCTATATTATTGCACTTCATAGATGTTTCACTTTTTTATAAATTGAAGGCAAGACTCTTCCTCCACCAACAAAAAGATTATGTGGTGATCTGGAACTGAACCAGCAATTTATCTGAGGTATGCCTGTATAAAAACCTCAAAAATATAGAGTATGAGGAGAGTGCTTCCCTAAGAAATGAAGACTTAGTGAGTGAATGAACAGGATGTTATTCTGGGATTTGAGCTGAAATTTAACTTTGTCCTCAGGCTTCTGGAGCTTGAGCAGAACAAGTAACAAAATGTTGGATCTGTTCCAAAGATGATATAAAGCAAACAGCTAAAGATGGGGAAGGAGAACCCTGGCTCTGACACACCCTGGCAATCATAAGTCACAGGGTACTGAGCAGTGCCCAAATATTCCTGAACCCTGAGAAATAAGGACACAGTAGTCCCTTTTATCCGAGGAGATAAGTTCCAAGACACCTAGTGGATGCTGGAAACTGCATGCAGTACCAAACCCCACATATTCTATAATTTCTCCCTGTCCTATAAAAATAAAAGGCTAATATGCAAATTGTCCCCTTGACCAGGAGTTCAACCAGGAGTTCAACTGGGAGCTCGACCAGGGACAGATGAAGGGAATGAATCTAATTCTGGAGCATCAGCATAAAACTGATTTATTGTATTGAGAGCCTCCTAAGACCTCCCCTAAACACCCAGCCTTTAACACTCTCAAGACAAAGGACCCAGGCCTCGCTCTCCCTCCCAGGAGCAGGCTTATGCCCTTCTTGCCCCACAGTGTGCATCTTCTAAACTCGAAGGGTCCTCATGAGACTTGCAACCAGGGGAGCAGCAGCTGTCCTGGGCTAACCTCCTGAACCTCTTTCCTAGGCCCTATTTGCTCTGACTTTCCAGTGAGCCAAAGCCACCCCAACTAGGCTCATTTCTTTCCTATTATGTTGCTAGAGAGCCAAAGCAGCCCCACCCAGGCTCTCCTGTTGCTTCTCCTATGCTAAGCCCTTCCTTGTTTCACTGTCCCCACCTTTAATAAATGTCTTCTCAAAATCACTCACACTTGTGTTGTGAAATCTTTCCTGAAGGAAATCAAGAACACACACTACAGGTCGGCCCGAGGCAGACCTGCTCCAGGCTGGTCCACTATCTAGTAACAACTTGACTTTCACCAGACTTTTCCAAAGAAGACAAACTAAACTAAACAAAACCAACATATTTCCCTATTTACCTGGCAGAAAGATGACACTATGCAGGATCAGGTGTGACTTTGCTATGCTGACATTAGCGGAGCATTTTTCCTTCTAGTGCCTCAATGAATTCTTTGCAGCTTCTGAAGGATACCGAGCCCTTGTGTATGGAATTTTTTACAGTTTCAAGCAAAAAGAAATGCTGGTATATGCTTCCACCTACCACTGTAAAAATAAAGTTCACTAGAATTATTAAAAAAAGATTAATAATTCCATGCAAGAATCAGGTCAAGTGATGTAAAATAATTTTATAAAATGTTACTACACCAAAACCCCCGAAAGCCCTAGAAGAGCACTCCAGACTTATCACTTTCCAACCCTCCGGGATTACATGAGAGGCTTTATGCGGAGAATCACAAAGCAGAGCAAGCACAAGTTTAAGCGGGTTTACACATTCCAATTTTTCAAAAGCAATAAGAAAGACTACAGCATAATTCAGCCATTAGGAAGCAACAGCAGTGTCAGAAAGGATATGGATTCCACTCATACTTGAAATCTTGAAGTCATCAATGAGCTATACTCCCATGTATTTACTTGGGTCACTGGAATCACTTTCTCGAACCTATGGAAAGAAAAATAAGTCAAAAACAGAAGTGTTTATGACTGAAAATAATTTCCATTATACCAACCAAAATGGTTTTAATGTAGGTGATGTGTTTTTTAAAACAAAATATTCAGTATTTGAACTTATAAAACATAAAATCAATTTTAATTTCGTCAAACCAAGAAAAATCCCTTTGTAAAATTTTAAGTTATTAATTTGTCTTCTATCATTCAAGATTTTACAGTACTTACACATTTGAGCAATTTTATTTCATCCAAGGCTGTCTCCGTATAATGCTGGGCACTTTTTACAACTTTCATTGCAACAAATCTTTTCCCCCTTTGGAAAATGCAAATTTAAAAAATATAAGCAGAAGTGATCATTATAATGAAATTTACCCAATATATACAAAGTTTTAATAAGCTTTCCTTTAAAACAGTGCTTTTCAAATTGTGGATCAATAATTCAGCAGGAGAAAAATCCCTTATAATTGTTTCTGTTTTTTCCTCATAAAATGAGGTAAACTAGAAAATGTCATTCATCACATATAATGAGAGTAAGTATCTTGTAACACTAGTTTCACTTCACACACACACACACACACACACACAAACAAAACAAACAAAACACACAAACACAAATGCATATTTATATTGGGTTGCAATGGCGTTTCATGCTATAGGTCATAGCTTTAAAAAGGAATCAGAAACCACTGATTTGGAAGGTCTATATGTTAATTTATATGTAAATGAGTTGTGGGGTATTTTGGTATGGATAAATTTTTGGGAAAAACTATGATCCTGCTATAATTTCAATGAATAAGCCTCAGATATACAGGCAGAGGAAAGTTAATATTTTAAGATAACAGGAAAATGAACTTCAAACTGAGGGGGGAAATGTTTAGCTAGGACAGGGCAGGCCTGTGCGAAGCACTTAACACTGCACAATAGAAGCAGCTGTGCCCTCAGCCATAGCTTGTAGTAAAATAAAGATGACAAATACGCCAGGAATCAAGATAACAAATGACAAAGAACACTTACTGCATATCCCAGCAAAGCCAGACAGTAGAGAAGTGTCCCCATCCTAGCTTCCTAATGACATGGTACCGGCCGTTGAAAAGGTCTCCAATTTTCACTGGATGATAGCCACCTTTTATTTAAAAAAAGAATAATAATTTCAAAAAATAGTAACAGAATATCATCTCTTCCTTTGTCAGTTCTTGATACCATTAAAGAAAGCTGCAAATAATAAAATCAGATTAAAATATATTTAATAGTGTAACATTTTTCAAGAATTTTCATCAAAAGAAAAGTGTCCTTTGCCTTTCTACTAAGTTAATTAGAAAGGCAAGAAACCACCCAGCACTTCATAACACTTACTTAAGGTTTTATATTTAAGTCTAGGTGTAAATAATATGCACACTAGCTCCTGACATTTCCAAACAACCTTATAAGTTAAACACCAATCTTGTTAGGTCAGTGCAATATAACTCACCAAAATAAAGGCTGGGTATCCTCCATAATTCTGCATACACTAACAAGGAGTCCTATATGCCGGGAGCCGGTCCATGCTTGCTGTTTCAAGGGACCTGGCATATATGGCATACTGTTCTTAATATGTTTGCTCACCTTGGCACTATGTGTTTTAACCAAGGTCTCCTCTCTGAGAAAGGTTGTTTCCCCAGGTAGGGATTTTCCCCTGAAGTTAGGGAGGGAATAAAGCCTCTTAACTAGTGCCAGGTGGGTAATTAATCACTTTAACTACGAACAATCATGCTTAAGCTACATAATCTTTACTCCCTGGAATGGAGATAAGAAACGCCCTAACCTTTGTAATAGAGATTGATAGGATTGAATCAACTGGTATAAATACAGATGTAATAAGACAGCAGAAGACAGAACTTAGAACACAGAACTCAGAATACAGAGCTTAGAAGACAGGACTAAGAACACAGAACCTACTCAGAACCTACAGACAGAAGAACTTCGCTGGAGAGAACATGGCAAAAGATCCTGGACTGAACCTGACTACAGAAATTGGCAAGAGAACCTGACTAGAACCTGGTGACTGAACCTGGCTGGAGAACCTGGACAGAACCTGGCTGGAGAACCTAGCGAGGGAACATGGCTACAGAACCTGGCTGGAGATCCTAAGCAGAACTTCGCTGGAGATCCAGACCAGAACTTGGCTGGAGATCCTGGCTAGAGATCCTGGCTAGGCTGCTGATCAACTGAACACTGTCTCCGTGTCCTTCCTTCTTCGCCGACTCCGTCCACACCTTTGGGGACCCCTGGACCTGCTGGGGTTGGACCCCAGCATATGGCGCCCGAACAGGGACCCCTAGTAAGCGCCCTGCACATGGGACGGATAGGACTCCACCATAGGAAGAGGGTGGACAGTCTTCGCCGACTCCGTCCACACCTTTGGGAAGCCCTGGAACAGGATTCCCCTAGGTAAGCCTCCCCCCTCCCCCCGCATTGAGAACCCCACACTCGGGACGGATAGGACTCCACCAGGGTACTGCAGACCCCCCTATAGAGGATAAGTAGGGTAAGAAGGTGGATAGTACAGAACTTAGATTAAGAAGATGTGCCATACTGAGTCCAAAGAAAGAAGACTCTGTATTGATCTTTAGATTAAGAAGATGTGCCATACTGAGTCTAAAGAAAAAAGACTCTGTATTGATCTTTTAACACATATGCTTGCTAGCACAGGAATTAAGGTTACTCCCAGTCAGACAGAACGTTTTATACAAGAAGTATGTCCATGCTTTTCTGAGGAAGGAAAGGTAAATGTAATGGCATGGGAGAAGGTAGGCCCAAGGAGCCTTATCCTTAACCCCACTGCAGCCTTTCCACCCTGGGAAAGTGCAGGATTGGCAAGCTCTCCCTGGGGTGATAGATCAGGACTCAAGTAATAGCGGAAAGCGCCAATCCTATTCTTAAAATGGATACAAGAGAGCATTTGGGTTTTTCTTTTTAATGCCTGCTTTTAAAAAATAAAAAAGGGGGAATTTGCCGGGAGCCGGTCCATGCTTGCTGTTTCAAGGGACCTGGCATATATGGCATACTGTTCTTAATATGTTTGCTCACCTTCTTGGCACTATGTGTTTTAACCAAGGTCTCTGAGAAAGGTTGTTTCCCCAGGTAGGGATTTTCCCCTGAAGTTAGGGAGGGAATAAAGCCTCTTAACTAGTGCCAGGTGGGTAATTAATCACTTTAACTACGAACAATCATGCTTAAGCTACATAATCTTTACTCCCTGGAATGGAGATAAGAAACGCCCTAACCTTTGTAATAGAGATTGATAGGATTGAATCAACTGGTATAAATACAGATGTAATAAGACAGTAAGACACAGAACTTAGAATACGGAACCAAGAGAGACGGAACCTAGGCACAGAACCTACACAGAACTAGAGACAGAAGAACTTCGCTGGAGAGAACATGGCAAAAGATCCTGGACTGAACCTGACTACAGAAATGGGCAAGAGAACCTGACTAGAACCTGGTGACTGAACCTGGCTGGAGAACCTGGACAGAACCTGGCTGGAGAACATAGCAAGGGAACATGGCTACAGAACCTGGCTGGAGAACCTGGAGAACCTAGCAAGACAACATGGACACAGAACCTGGCTGGAGATCCTGGCTAGGCTGCTGATCAACTGAACGCTGTCTCCATGTCATCTCAACGCTGTCTCCATGTCATCTCTTCTTCGCCGACTCCGTCCACAACTTTGGGGACCCCTGGACCCGCTGGGGCTGGACCCCGGCACCTATATAATAAAAGCCTAATATGCTAAGTGTCTGGTCATTCATTCAACCAATCAAAGCGTAATATGCTAATAATATGCTAAGGCCACTCAACCACTTGCTATGATGTGCACTGACCACCAGGAGACAGTCGACTGGTCACTATGATGTGAACTGACCATCAGGGGGCAGATGCTCCAACCGAATGGTTAGCTTACTGCTGGTGTCCGGCTGATTGGAACACACCCTGGAACCCTCCCACGCAACCCCCACCACCCCCTCCCGCTGGCAAACCTCCCGCATCCCTTCCCAGCCTTGATCGTGCACTAGAGGCCCAGTGCACAAATTCATGCACCAGTGGGGTCCCTTGGCCGGGCCTGCACTCTCTTGCAATCCGGGACCCTTCGGGAAATGTGAAAGAGCCGGTTTCGGTCCGATCCCGTAGACCAGGCTAAGGGACCCCACTGGTGCAATTCACTCTCCAACATAGCTTGCTCCTCTCGCCCTTCTTCCTCCAACTTCAAACTCCTGCCTTGGAAATAGGTTAGAGAGTGAGGGAGGCTGTATCATGTTAAGGTAGACTTTTGGGGAGGGAAGGGTCCTTCACAGACATCTGGCATAAAAAGACCTTCACTTTGCATTTGTAAGTAAAATAAGGAGGCTACAAAGTAGCATGTATAATATAGCATTTCTGTGAAACAAACAAAAAAAAGTCTAGGAGGATGATGTTAGCAACAAACAGCTTGATATAAAATTGCTTTCACTCTTTTAATCTATATTTTATTCTCTGTATCTTTTTCAATATTTTTCTGAAACAAACATAATACTTTTCTATTTTATACTCTCTTAGCATTTACCACTTCTTTATTGCAAAGATGCTATTTTCCCTTTTTAAATTTGTTTTCCTTTTTTTAAATCTGCAAAATTCTTATAAATCACTAAGACAGAGAAGTACAGAGAACAGACTGACAGCTATCAGAGGACAGTCTGGATGAAAACGGTGAAGGGATTATGGAAAAAACCCCACAAACTAACAAAAAGAAACAAAACAACAACTCATAGACATAGACCACAGTATGGTGGAAAGAGGGGTGGGGATGGAGGGGGATAGAAGAGTATAAAGGGGGGATAAACGGTTACAGAAAGAAACAAGTTTGGATGGTGAACACACAATACAATATACAGATTATGTATTATAGAATTGTACACCTGAAACCTATAATTTTATTAACCAATGTCACCCCTATAAATTCAATAAAAAATTTTAAAAAGAAGACATAGATGGTTTGTGCCTATTTTTGAGCAGCTCAAAGCAGGTGCAGGAAGTACCTAAGCCAATTCTTTTAATCCATCTGTAACTTTCACAGGGCTAGGAATAATACTTCAAGAAATACTATGAATATAAATACTTAAATTGTGTTGAATTAATGAAGCAAAAATTTGAGTAGACACATTTTCTAAGATTCTTACTCTCATACCACTGTACTTGTTTTTCTTGGATTTTAATATCAAAGTGTGTAACAATATTTTGGGTAAAAAAAATATGAACTAAAAGGTAGTAAATTATACATGAAAATAGGAAATTATTTAATGGAAGGGTGGGTGTTAACAAAACACACTGTGGTAATCATTTTGCAATATACACACATGTTAAGTCATTAAGCTGTTACACCTTAAACTTGCACAATGTTGTATGTCAATTATCCTATACTAGAGGCCCGGTGCATGAAAATTCATGCACTGGAGGGGGGGTCCCTCAGCCCGGCCTGCCCCCTCTCACAGTCCGGGAGCCCTCAGGGGTGGGAGGCGACCAGGCGATCAGGGGAAGGTGACACCCCATCACACCTGTGCTGCTGCCACTAACGGCAGCGCAAGCCTCAGCCGGCCCTGGTTACCTAAGCCTCGAGCGGCCCTGGGCGGCTGGGGGGCTGAGGGGACTGGATGGATCTGGAGGCAGGGCTGAGGGGACTGGGCACCTCCATCTTTGAGGGCGTGGCAGTCAATTAGCATATTCCCTCCTTATTGGCTGTGGGCACCACCATCTTTGCAACCTGCTGCTCAGTCATTTGGTCGTCCCCTCACTAACCTCCCTGCCGGCCTGGTCGCCCCACGAAGCCTGTTCGGTCATCCATTCGGTTGTGATGGTCACTTAGACTTTTATATATATAGATAATAAAAGCATAATATGCTAAGTGTCCAACCAATCGGTTGACTGGTCAACCACTCGACCAGTCTTTATGACGTGCACTGACCACTAGGGGGCAGACGCTCCGACCGGTAGGTTAGCTTCCTGCTGGGGTCTTGACTGATTGGAACTGGGCGAGAGTGCCAGACACTCCTTGGCTGGCCAGCCCCCAATACCCCAATCGGCCCCGATCGCCAGCCAGGCTGAGGGAA